CTTTGTATTATATATATATATATATATATCTATATATATATATATCTATATATATATATATATATATCTATATATATATATATATATCTATATATATATATATCTATATATATATATATATATCTATATATATATATATATATCTATATATATATATATATCTATATATATATATATCTATATATATATATATATTTATATTATATATATGAATGGTAAAACACTCTTCCGCGTAGATACTATAACACATACAAATACACACACAAACACACACACACACACCACACACACACACACATATATATATATATATATCTATATATATATATATCTATATATATATATATATATCTATATATATATATATATCTATATATATATATATCTATATATATATATATCTATATATATATATATATCTATATATATATATATTTATATTATATATATGAATGGTAAAACACTCTTCCGCGTAGATACTATAACACATACAAATACACACACAGTGTGTGTGTGTGTGTGTGTGTGTGTGTGCACGTGTGTGTATCGTGCATCACACATACACACACACACACACACACACACACACACACACACACACACACACACACACACACACACACACACACACACACACATATATATACAGTTGTGAATAATTTCATGTTTATTAGACGTTTCGAAGGCAAGCTCCATCATCAGTACTGTTAAAAAAGAACCATAAAAAAGTTAAACAATGATAGTTACAATTGTCTGGTTCTGAACTTTAAATTCTTTTATATGTTTATATTGCATGATTATTTTATGTTTTCATTTTACATTACGTCTGTGTATATATTGTTCCTGTTTACTTCCATGTACTTGTAATTCTGTTTGTATACTTGTCCAAAAGTCCAAAACCAGACACTTTTAATTATCATTATCTGACTTTTTCAATGTCTCTTTTTGGCAGTACTGATGATGGAGGTCTAGTTGGCCTTCGAAACGTCTAATAAATATGGAATACGGACACACTCACATCTAATAATTTATATTTATATATATTAATCAATTAGGCTGGTTATGGAGAGAGATTGGGATTGTTCTCCTTCAATCCCCGTCGCTCCCACCCATTACCATGGCCATGGCCTAGGATTGACATAAACACACACACACACACACACACGCACAGACACACTTATATATATATGTATATATATATATATATATATATATATATATATATATATATATATATATTTATATTATATATATGAATGGTAAAACACTCTTCCGCGTAGATACTATAACACATACAAATACACACACAAACACACACACACATATACATATATATATATATATATATATATATATATATATATATATATATATATATATATATATAAATATGTATGTATGTATGTATATATATATGTATATATATATATATATATATATATATATATATATATATATATATATACACACATTATATATATATTTATGTGTGTTTGTGTGTGTAAATGATTATAAAGGTGATATATAAATTAAAGATGATAAAGATGGATAGGGATATAATAAATAAAGGTTTACATATTATTAATTATACAGTTGAAAAACGATGGTTTTCCAGATCCTAATACTTTTGTTTGTCTGAATTACAAAAATTAATTTCGTCGTTGCGCCTTCCAAATGGCCTTCCCTTCGGAGTCTCTACTTCGGCGTCCAATTTCCTGAAGACGTTCCTCGCGGTAAATCTCATCGTCTTTGGCAGGTCTCCCCAGGCCGCCGACGCCTCGACGACCTCACTGCCAGTGTGGACGCCCCTCGTGGCCGGGGAACCTGTCACCCACTACATACTCTCCTTCACTCCCGGGATGTCCGCCAGGCCCTTCAGAAGCAAGGTGAGTGCCATGTCTTGATGCCTTCCGATATGTTACTTGTTTGGATACTGATTGGAGAAATTCGCACGAACACCGAATAAAGACAAAAACTTCTACGTTGCAGGAAAGAAACTTCTGGCGCCAGACTCTGAGCTACGTGAACGAGGCGGCGGAATCCTACTACGCGTGGGTTATCACCACGTGGGTCCTGCTGGCGCTCCTGCTGCTTCTCCTGCTGGTCGCGGCGGGCATCTGCGTGGGCGTTTGGCGTGTGCGGAGGCGAGATAAATACCCACCAAAGGGTTCTTCCTCCCTGACCCTCCGCGCGCGCCGTCACCGGAACCCGTCGCTGCAGTCTAGCAGTTCGGGGGGCGTGGCGAACGCGGGCGTGTCGTCAGACCCGCACGCGTGAAGGGGCCTGGCGTGACCGCTCGTGAGTTCTAGGGCGTCATGCTGTCAGCTTTGTCGGCTCTTCCTGAATTATGTTGAGCGTTGCTTTTGGATACTTTTGTGCGTATATACCCAAGGGCCTCAACTTTAATTTTTTTTCTAAATATTTCTTTATAGGTATGAATGGATGTCTAGTCTAATGCATTGATTTCTAGCAAATATATGACTTTGATACTCCAACTGCA